CGCGCGCCGCTCAGGCAATCATGACAATCAAAACAGGATTGAGACGCCGTGCCTAGAACTTGGGGTGTGGGTACACTGTCGGCGCGGGCCGGGGCACAGCCATGGGCATGGGCACGGCACTGGAAGGACTCCGGGAAGGCGGTGTCGTTATTTGCCATTTCCGCGACGTCGCGCAGCGCGAATCGCAAGGCCCTCCATCATATGATGATCGGCACAGATGTTGCGGGACCGGCCGGGCTGGCTGGCTGCCTGGCTGGTTGATGGGTCCTCCCACACTGTGATGGCAAGCCGATGAAGCGGATCGGACGGTCGAGGGCGCTGCGCGTTAACCAGACCACCAGCTGACACTCCACCACGCCGCGCCGCTCCCGGCCGATTGGGCCAACTACGCGTTACTGGTGACTGCCGTGGCCCGTCAAGGACGCTGTCGAGGATGCCGTTGAGGATCTCATCGAGGACGGCGTCGAGGACGGCGACGAGGACGGCGTCGAGGACGGCGTCGAGGACGGCGTCGAGGACGGCGTCGAGGACGGCGTCGAGGACGGCGTCGAGGACGGCGTCGAGGACGGCGTCGAGGACGGTGTCGAGGACGGCGTCGAGGACGGCGTCGAGGACGGCGTCGAAGACGAGTCGCGGACGGCGTCGAGAACGGTGTCGAAGACGAGTCGCGGACGGCGTCGAGGACGGTGTCGAAGACGGAGTCGCGGACGGCGTCGAGGACGGCGTCGAAGACGAGTCGCGGATGCCATCGAGGCCGCAGTCTAGGACGCCATCGCGGGGACGCCATCGCGAGGACGCCGTCATGAGGACGCCGTCGAGCAGGGGACACCCACGAGAACTTGATATGATAAAGAACGCTGTCAGACAGCCGCAAAGGAGAGCCGCGAGCGTCGCGCCACTAGAATGTGGAGGATGCCGGCTGCGTTCGTTGCATCGTCTGAGAGAGCTATAGGACGCAAGGACCAGGATCAGTGACCGCCGAGTCGTCCCCTCACCCCCGCTCCGCCTGCAGTCGCCCTGGAGACTGTCGGCGGTCCTTCATTAAACACGCGATGCCAGGGCCAGGCGGGGCCGGGCCAAGGAAGCCGAGGAGGAGGTGGCTGGCTGGCCTGGCCCGGCCCGGCGTGGCCGCACCGCGCTGCGGGGACTGCGGGGGCGCATGGCAGAGACGGGCGCAAACTTTGGCTTTGGCATGCAGTGCGGCGGCCGCCGGGCTGACGGCCTCCTCGGAGTGTAGGGACCTCAAGAACAAACTGCCCGCCCCGCCCCCCACGCACACCGCAAAGCGCCCCGCCAAGAAGCCCGCAAGCACCAAGTCCACCCCGACAAGCTCCCCGACAAAGCGGCCGGGCGAGACGATGCTCCAGGAAGGGCGCGGCGTGGAGGAAAAGAAGATTGCTGCAGAGCTTTGCGCGAAGCCGGGCCGAGAGACATTGGGGGCATTACCATTACAGGACAGGCCCTTGCCCTGCAGGGCCCCGCCTTGGCCGTGGCCGTGGCCGCCTGGACCTGAGCTGAGCCTGAGACTATCCCCCTCCCCTTCGCCACGCCATGATGGACGACGCAGATTTCTTGCTAACGCGGCGAGGGAAAGGAAAGGGCACTGCCCGCCCGCGGCGCCCGCCTGATGAATCAAAGAATAAAATGCATGAATGAATGCATATCGCTCGCGGATTATGAAATTTGTGATGAATCCTCGGAGGGATGGAGTTTTACAGCGACTCTTTCAGGTTTCGACAGGCTTGGCTTGGCTTCAGCGATCACAGCCATGAATCATACACCGCTCGCGGCGCATCAAGCGTGGCCTTCCAGCTCGCTATCAAAATAAAGAGAGAGATTGTTTTTTGGATCATTTTTTATCTGCGCATCGGCAGCAGTAGCGCTATTCAATAGCCAAAAAGAGAAAGTTGTGCGAATGCGTTTGCGTGGGGGATGGCCGGGCCGGGCCGGCCGGGCGGCTGGGCTGTGGGTGTAAGCTGAGCTTGGAGCCACTCTCTGGCTGTCCGCGAATCGTTGTTGGTCCAGCTGCAGTCCGCTTTCCAAGAAATCCGTCTCCCCACGTCCTTTTCCTTCGCCGCTCCCTATGCCCCGCCGGCCGCCTCCTCGTTTGTCAGTCTCGCCGTCCTTGGGCTTGGGCCTGCCATTGGGGCGGGGCGGGGCGGGGCGGGGCGGGGCGGGGCGGGGCGGGGCGGGGCGGGGCGGGGCGGGGCGGGGTGGGGCGGGGCGGGGCGGGCGTGGCCCGTGCTGTCGCGCCTTGCTGACGTGGTGGAGTCTCGGCGGGCCGGCACCACGGCGTCGGAATTAGCGCATGTCGTCATTTGACACCCGGGCAGCGCGGCGTGGCGCGGCGCTCCGTGGCGGGCGTGGCGGGGCGGCAACACCCACGCCGGACACGCGGACCCTCGTCTCGCCCACGCCCCGCCCACGGAGTGTGTCGCGACAAGAGGAAAACTCGCCAAAACCGATCGAATACGCCTGCGCAGTTTTTATTTTCTGTTTATTCAGACCGTGAAGAGTGTTTTGGCTACGGAGTAACAGCTTTGCAGTCATCGAACAACTATATTTAGACCCAAGTCGTTTTCCAATTTCCATTTTGCTCGCTTTGTTTTCCTCTTTTCTCTTTTTTCTCTTTGATGGCGATGCGAAAAATACGACCTCCTTGTAGTGTTTCCGCCAATCGGCGCATCGTCGCGGGGGCAGTGTGTCGGGTGCCATGTCGGGTCCCATTTCCGCGACACAACACCCCGCCATAGCGGGGAGGCGGAGAAACAAAACCCCACTGCGCTGCAGTGCATGCAGGTCGCGTTGTGGTGCGAGTCAATTAGGCGGCGGACTGATTCCGAGAGTCGTTTTCCTCGCTCCGTCTCGCTCGCTCTCGCGGGGCGTCAGTCGCGGAGGCAGGTCGCAATTCGCGGTGAAACCGGGTTTGTTGTCGCCGGGCCTGTCACGCGCGATACCAGCAGACTGATTCCGGGAGTCGTTCTCGTCGCTCTGTCTGTCTCGCACCTACTCGGGACGCCCCGTGAGTGCGAGAGAGACAGAGCGACGACTCTGCAGTCTGCGGAGCGTGGTGCGTGGGAGAGGAGGGCCGCGCCGCGCGTCACAGTGGGCCAGAAGAACGGGGGAGGCGGCCAAAACTCCAGACGCGTTTTGAGCTCCAGAGTCGCTGAATGGGCCTCGAAGCGAACGTGTGACCCCACCAATGGATTGCTCTCCGAACGAGGAATCCATTGATGGGGTCACACGCTCAGTTCGAGTCCTGCTTAACGACTCTGGAGGTCAAAACGCGTCTGGAGTTTTGGCCGCCTCCACTGGTCTTCTGGCCCACTGTGCGCTTCTCCCAGACGACGCAGCAACTATTTCCCGGTGCAGATCACAAAGCAGCGAGACATGACATGCGTCGCCACGACGTCGGCGTCGTCGCGACGCCAGCGCCCTCTGGTGCGGACGTGGCGCGCCTCAGGGCCGCCGCCTGGTGCCGGAGGGATCGCGCAGTCTCTCTCGCACTGACGGGTGCACCCCGCGAGTGCGAGAGAGACAGCGGAGAAAGAATCCCTCGGAAAGAGACGGCTTCCGGGGCTGGGCTGCGCGACGGGGCCACGGGGACGGCCCGGGACGGCGGGGCAATGCAAGACGTGGCAGCTGGCAGCGCGGCCGGGTCGTCCCGATCGACACCTCCCAGGAAGACTCGACTATCTTCGCGCGCCCGATAGAGACTCGACTATCTCCACGAGCCCGATAGACACTCGACTATCTTCGCGAGCCCGATAGACACTCGACTATCTCAGTTTTTACATATATTGTCTCATAAATCAATATGAATTCTACAAGTAGTTTTCCTTTTGATGGCACTTATCAGATACATACTAAGAGATGATTGTACTGCGCTCAAATTAATTACTAGAGTGAGAATCATCTCAAAAAGCGCAATCTGAAAAATAAAGTGAGGTTATGGTCGTTTGTTTTTACGGCAATTACAACCAAACTATAGTTTATTGCGAACAAAAAACTAAAGGAATTTCATCTCCTATATATTTTCAAACCTTTGAGACAACTCCGCGACTACAATCTCCTTGTATTTTGTTTTAATCGAGCTCGTTCTCAATTCTGCGTGTTCTAACTTTTAGCTCAATATTTTTGTGTGTTGTTGTGTACTTACGTAAATCATATGCCGTCGTGTTCGGAAAAGACTGGACTTTGCGATGAATACCTCGGACATTACCACACATGATTATCTAATTGTTCCGAAGAATCTAAAGTTTCCCTTGCTAGCTTTTTGAGGCGACCTGATTTGAGATAGTCGAGTGTCTATCGGGCTCGCGAAGATAGTCGAGTGTCTATCGGGCTCGTGGAGATAGTCGAGTGTCTATTGGGCGCGCGAAGATAGTCGAGTCTTCCTGGGAGGTGTCGCGATGCCCCCGATGAATCCACGCCGCGCACTCCTTTATTTCTTTCTCTTTCTTTCTCTGTCTGCGCGACTCGACTCGGGTTTCGCGCGACGCGTGCTGCCAGAGTGATGGCGCAGCCTGCGCAGCCTCGCCGCGCGTGAGGCGAGCGACGCCACCACCACGCCGTCGAGACCCTCGCGTCGACCTCGACCCTCGATGCCCCGACCTCGACCCTCAACGCCCTAACCTCGTCCCTCGCCTCGACCTCGACCCTCCCTCTGCTCAGCCGCGAATCGAAGACATTTCCTTGGAGTGGGTATTGTAGAGCTTTTGCCGGCTTTTGCCCTACTTGGAGCGGCGAAAAGTAGTGCTGCCCAGGAGCGTGCATACCAGCCGTCGAGCAAATCGCAGTGCACTTTAAGTGTTGTACAGTGAAGATTCTCCATATTATGTTGAAAATGTCCCATATTATGGTGGTGCAGCTGATCGTAACATACCGTTGAGAATTCACTGCACCTTACGGAGATTTTGACGAATTTCGTTGGTATTCTGGAGAAAAATCTCTACCACATTATGTTGGTGCAGCCTTTCACCATAACTTGTGTGACTCACCTCATCTCGAGACGACGATCTCGGCCAAGCTGAACCTGCAACAGGAGAGACGAACCCGTTAAGGCATCAGGACGGGAAGCGCAGAAGAACACGGAGAAACGTGAAAACTCACGGGGGTAGATACTTTAAGATATCGTGAACAAACTACCCGGTTTCCCGCTGTGTGACGGGGATATGACACTCTGACACGTGTATTACGGCATTGAAATGAAAAGATTTGGCACCTTTGACCCAAAAGTTGTGTTCACGTACGCGTAATACACAGTTTTCGTGTACGGGGTATTACCGAGGGGTGACTCACTCAGGGTTCTGGTGTACACATGAGTACATGAATACGGGTGAGTACACCTTGCTTTACTCATAAATTTCACAATTTAAAACGTTTTTAGGCTTTATTTGGCGTTTTTAACGGCATTCGACGTTTAATCGGTCAAAAAACTAGAGAATTTCACCTTTTTAAAACTTGTGAGTACAATGAGTACGGGCAAATTTGTACACATGAGTACACTAGTGATTCACCCCTCGGGTATTACGCGAGTGTTTACCCCCTTGCAAATACTCCACTGCAGGAAATAACCACAACAAAAGTACACAAATTTCTGGCAAATTTTTTATCAGGTTTTTATTGTACTTTCAAAGTACAACAATTGTTGTACAAAGTACAATGGAACCGGCATGACGAGTGCTGGGCAGTCCCGGCCTCGTTGTGATTTGTACAATTCTCGTTGTACTTTCTACAATCCCTGTTGTACTTTCATTGTACAGTTTTTGTTGTACATTTGTTGTACTATTCACACTTTTTCTTGCAGTGTCGCGTCACAGAGCCAGCAGCAGCAGACTGATTCCCAGACTCGTTTTCATCGTTCTGCCTCTCTCGCCCTCATGGGGCGTCCCGTGTAGGTGCGAGTGAGACAGAGCGACGAAAACGGCTCTCGGAATCAGTCTAGCTGAGTACCTGCATGATTTGTCACAGTGCGGCCGGCCGGGCCAGCACCGGCAGGCTGACTCCACGCAGTGTCCGTCCCTCTCGCACGCGCACGGCACAACGGAACACCCTCGGGAACACCCCTGCGGCGCGAGAGAGACGGAGCGACGGCATTGTTCTGTCGGCGCACAATGCGTCGTGTGTGCCCCGTCATTTATTCGCGAGAGCGTGCTCTTTCCGCTCCGCGCTTCGCGAATACATTAAATCGGAAATATAATATAATAACGACAGGAAAATGGTCGAGCGAGGCGGACCTGCGCTAATCACGTGCACCGCGGTGTGCGCGATTTATTGCGGATTTCTCCATGATTTGCTTGGTCTGAAGTTTTCCCTTTTCTCCGAGATTGGCAAACCCGCGCAAGGGCGTAGCAACGTTCTAAGGCCGAGGACCGCTCCACTGTAGCGCTCAGCGCTCCGCAGTGCCGGAACGCCACATTGTTCGTCACATCAAGTTCGCCGGCAAAGTCGCGGCCGTATTATCGGACTCCAGACCGATTCCGAGAGCCGCTTTCGTCGCTCTGTCTCTCTCGCACTCATGGGGTGCCATGTATCGGTGCGAGAGAGACAGAGCGACGAAAACGACTCTCGGAATCGGTCTGCTGGAGGCGCGGGAAGGCGCGGGCCTGCTGCGTGCGACGCCGATTCCGAATACAGTCGCTCTGTCTCTCTCGCACCCATCCGGACGCCCCACGAGTGCGAGAGAGACAGAGAATGATTCATCGGCTGGAGCGGCTGTGCAGCGAATAATACTGGAGGAGAGCGTTGCCGCGTTGTCGCTCTGGGGAGCCATGGAAACACAGCGGCGGAAAATAATAAAAGATAATAAGGCTGGGAAGCACAGCTGCCGTTCCCACCAGGATAATTGCAAAAAAAATGGAAGAGGGTCAAAATAACGCGGCAGTTCAGGTGGTGATAAATTGGGAACCTTCGTTCTTTAATTACGTAACCATCACAGAGAGGATCTGAAAATCGTGGCATCCAAAAATACACAAAAAATTTAAACTCAGACATTTTGAGGACGGCCATTACATGTGAGGAGGCAAAGTACTGTCCTTCAAGTATGTATCGTGTATGTTTTTTTTTTTTTCGAGGGATCGACCACTCACATTGCGCGTGTACGAAGTAATACAGTAATATATGGTAATATACGTTCCATTGCCTTTTTTGGCTGATTTCATGCTAGTCATGGTCTAGTATTTGGAAATATTTGTGGATTTTTAGTTGTAATTTAAGAGTAATATGCAAGTACCAGCCTATGACGACCCTTCGTATCTATTTTGTTGGTGTTTTTTGTCCGGGTCGTTCAATTCTCATCCTCCGCACAACGTGACATCAACACGGCACTTCTTCCAGCGTGATAACGCGCACTCTGCCCTTTGCATCACACTGCCGGTCGACACGCCGCAAAATCATCCCCTCCGTCACAATCGAAAATCACTCGCCCCCGAGCAAAAAGGGACAACAACAACACCCAAAACGACAACAACAACAACAACAACAACAACAACAACAACAAAAGACAAACACCCCGCTCTGGGATCTTGATACATTCCTCTACGAGCTCACAGGAGCGAATTGCATTTTCTGCAGCCCCCTCCCCCCCCCCACCCCCTCCGCCGCGCGCACCCGCCGCCAAGCAGACAGCGCACAAGATATAGCGCGTGGCATTGAACGCCCGGGCCGTTTGGGTGAGACACGCTTTGGCCCCTCCGCGACCCCCCGGGGAGGCCCCGGGGCCTCATATGGCGGCGGAGAAATATAACAAGCATCTTCTCGGTGGACACTTTTGCTTCTCGCTGGCCAGCCAAGGGCGGCCAAGGGCCGGCCCTCCGTCATGCTCACTCCCCCGTCGGGGCCGGCCGACCACACCACAGTGTTGTCCGACAACCGCGCTATTTCACAGCCCCCCCCCTCCCCCTCCCTCGATGCCACATGCCTCGTGGGAAAAAAGGGATGCGAGGAAAAACGCACACACGGCCCTGGCGTCGAGGGTACTTGAACCCGCGCCCCGCGCCGCCGCCCGTCTGAAAAAGCCCCACTCAAAGAGGAACTACTTTTGGCCCCCTTCTGGCGGGCCGGCCGTTCGTTGGCGGGGGAATATGTTGTTGTGCTGCGCGGGGCGGCGGCGCGCCGCTGCTTGGCTGCTTCGCTTGATTGCCGCCGCGGCGCTGCAGACTGATTCCGAGAGTCGTTCTCGTCGCTCTGGCTCTCTCGCACCCACACGGGGCGCGCCATGAGTGGGAGCGAGGCAGAGCGGCGAAAACGACGACTCCCGGAATCAGTTTGCTGGCGTCTACGCCGCTCGGTCACCACCGCACTATGGGCCTGAAGACCGGTGGACGCGGCCATGACTCTAAACACCGGCCTCGAATCGAACCTGTGACCCCACCATTGGATTGCTCTTCGAATGAGGCATCCATTGGTGGGGTCACACGTTCGGTTCGAGTCCCATTTAGCGACTCTGGAGCTCAAAACGTGTCCGGGGTTTTCACTGCCTCCACCGGTCTTCTGGCCCACTGTGCGTCGCGACGGTGCTCGCTCGCTCATCCTCGCTCTCCTCCCCGCGCTGCTCTGCTTCGGCTCTCATCTCCGCTGGCCGGAAAGCGAGGCTAGCGGTGACTCGCCCAGGTGCTTCGCCGTGCCTCGCAGAGCTCCACCGCGCCACGCGGAGGGAGATTCGGTGACATTATTTTCCACATTATTATCTTCCATGTCATTCTCAGGACTGCATTTTCCACACGCGCGTTAGCTCCGCTGCACTGTCACCCACCAATGCCTGCCTGCCGCTGCCTGCCAGCGTCTGCGCCGCTCTGCGCGCGTCCAGGTTTCCAGTTTCGAATTGGCGACGCGTCGGCGCTGTCTCGCTGCGTTCTCCTGTCGCTCCTGGCCTCGCGGATGTCTTCCTTAAAAGGGGAGGGGGGAGGAGGGGGCGTCGCAGCCGGCTTACGGTGTGATTCCCGCGACAGCACGCTAAGTCCGACGCGGAATCTGAAATCTCCATTCTTCCTGCGCGGCTTCCCGTATAAAACACGGCTTTTACTCTCCAGGTTTTCAAGTTGCAGCCTCCCTCTTCCGCCGGCGCGTCCCATTTTTTCCCCGGGGCGTAATATGTCTGCAAGCTGCGTCGATGATGGCTTCCTCTCCGGCGAACTCCGGTCCACCCCGCCCCGCCCCGCCCCGCCCCGCCCCGCCCCGCCTCGCCGCGCTGCGGTTTGGATGGTCGCCATTTTCGTCGGCCAGGCGCCAGGTCGCAAACTCCGGCTATGGGGAGAAGAAACATGGCCAGCTAAAAAGGAAAAAAAAAGAAGGAAATAATAAAGACCGAAAAAGAAAGCAGCGCGCCGGGAAGCCGAAGCCAGCAAGAGAAAGCTGCACGTGCGCCTCTTGGCAGACTGATTCCGAGCGTCGTTCTCGTCGCTCTGTCTCTCTCGCACATACGGAGCGCCCGATGAGTGCGAGAGAGACAGAGCGACGAAAACGAGTCTCGGAATCAGTGTGCCGGCCGTCGCCGCGCTCCCTGCCGGCGGTGTTTCGCACTACTCGTCCCGGCCGCGTCCTCTGGGCGGATTACGCGATTTGGGAGGAGGGGTGCCGGGACGGCTAAGGCTTGCACTTAATTCATTACGCAGCGATGGCCCGGCGCGGCCAGCAGCCGTCGCTCTGTCTCTCTCGCACTCACGGGGCCGTCCGTAGGGGTGCGAGAGAGACAGAGCGGCCGCCGGCAGCAGCGGAGAGGGATGAGGGGCGTCGAGGATTAAAAGGGTTTCGAGGAACTGCAGGCCGAGCTGGCAGGGCTGGCCGCCCCTTGGGCTGCCCCTTCCTCGTCCTTGTTTCGCTCATACAACGCGCCGGCGACTGCCAAAGAAAGCTTTCCGCTTTGTCTCTCTCGCACCTTCACGGAGAGCCTCGTGAGTGGGACGGAGACAGAGCGACGAAACGACACTTCTGAATCGCTCGGCGGAGGCGGACTTAATTGAAGTGCTAAAGCGGGACGCAGCCACACCGTAGGGAAGCCGCGACTTGCAGTGCGGTGGGGAGCTGCCCGTGACA